AAAATAAACTCCTGGGACTGAAGTGGGGGTCGACTCCTCAGAGTGACCCTCCTGGCCCCACTTCTCTGTAAGAGTTGTGCAGTTGGTTACTGTCTTCGCCGTCCAGATTACCGTCGCCGCTGCGACACTCCCTCAGATACGAAAATCCATGGACGCTCAAGTCCCTTATATAAAATGGCATAGTATTTGCCTATAACCTATGCACATCCTCCTGTATAGTTTAAATCATCCCTAGATTACTGATAATACCTAATACATTGTAAATGCTATGTAAATAGTTGTAATACTGCATTGTTTAAGGAATAATGACAAAACAAGGGGCCACCAATGCTCAAGCATTAAGTGCTAGAGAGAGACTGAGGATCTGTGAAATGGTGGGAGGCTACAGCAGGGTATGCCAACACATCACTTCATTCCCATGGATTCAGCACAGTGCTTGGCGTGTGGCAAATTCAAGTTTTGCTTTTTGGAACTTTCTTTTTTTGAGTATTTTCGACCCACAGTTGGTGGAATCCACAGATGCAGAATCTGTGGCTACAGAAGGCCGACTATATATTTGAAATTTGTCATAATAAAAGTTCTAAAAAGTCACTGTCATAGATTGAATTATGTCCCCCAAAAAATGTGTGTATCAATTTCGCTAGGCTATGATTCCCAATATTGTGTGGTTGACCTCCATTTTGTGGTTGTAATTTTATGTTAAAGAGGGTTAGGGTGGGATCATAACACTCTTACTAAGGTCACATCTCTGATCCAAGGTAAAGGGAGTTTTCCTGTGGCGTGGCCTGCACCACCTTTTATCTTATGAGAGATAAAAGGAAAGGGAAGCAAGTGGGGCGGGGGGAGGGAACTCATACCACCAAGAAAGTAGTGCTAGGACATGAGGTTCCTGCACTGAGAAGCTCCCAAAACAAGGGAAGACTAATGACAAGGACCTTCCTCCAGAGCCGACAGAAAAAGCCTTCCCCTGGAGCCGACACCCTGAATTCAGACTTTTAGCCTACTGGACTGTGAAAGAATAAACTTCTCTTTGTTAAAGCCATCCACTTGTGGTATTTCTGTTACAGCAGCATTAGATGACTAAGACAGTCATAATATTCCTTTTTCATAATTAAAAACCTGGATAGAGTTTATCTTCACTGCCATCACTGATGCCAATTCATGATACGCCCAGGAAGAATACTGCCATCATCTTACCCAGTTCTACGTGATCTTTCTTTAGATCGTTGCAGTTTCCAACATGCTTCTTTGGCACCACAAGATAATGATGAGGTGCTGCTGGTTTGATATCTTTGAAACAAACTAGGTCTTCATTCTAAAGGAAATAACATAGTATTTGTTATTCAATGAACTATTCAGAAGAATTTCCTAATGTACTGGCATGACTTAAAGATCATAAATCCCAGTGTGATAAGGGAATGGTACTTATGTTACAAGGAGCCCTCGCGGTACAATGGTTAAAGCGCTTGGCCACTAACTGACAGGTTGGTGGTTCGAAACTACCAGGGAGAAGAGACCTGGCAATCTGTTCCCATAAAGATTACAGCCTAGGAAATCCTATGGAGCAGTTCTACTCTGTCCTATATAGTTGCTATGAGTTGGAACTGACTTGATAGCACACAACAATAACTTATGTTACAACTAAGAACCACCAGGAAGCTCAAATATTTTGTGATTATGTATTAAGTCTATAAAGACAAGTGTTAGCTTCCTTCATGAGATTTTCATTTATTCCAAAGAATAAAAAGACTTTTTATAAAGTCCATTTCATAAGAAACAATCATGAGTGAAGTTCATCTTCTAGCACTATACTGGACAATATTCTGTTGTGATGCATAGGGTTTTCACTGGCTAATTTTCAGAAGTAGATCACCAAGCCTTTCTTCCTAGTCTGTCATAGTCTGGAAGCTCTGCTGAAACCTGTCCACCACAGATGACACTGCTGGTATCTGAAATACCAGTGGCATAGTTTCCAGTATCATACTAAAACACAAGCCACCAAAGTATAACAAACTGACAGACAGGTGGTAGGTTTTATATTCTAAATATCTCTTACATTGCTCAACTTTTCTTCATTTCCACTGCTATCTTCTTATTTCAGGCTATCATCAGGCTGGATTACTCCAATAGTCTAAAAGGTCTCGTGCCTCCAGACTGGCCCCCTCCAAATCATTCTTCACAACAGTGCCAGAATGATCTCTCAAAGAGCAAATCCCTTCATGTCACTCCTCAAGCCTCTGCCATCCCCTCAAACTCTATGTTCCAGTCAAACTGAATTTCTTTTAGTTATTCTATGGCACAAAGTTCTCTCTTGCCTCTGAACCTCTGAAGGTTCTCTACCTGGAATATTCTTCTCACCTGGTCAACTCCTACTTGTTTATTCAGGTCTCACTTCCTCTGGAAAGCCTTCCCTAATGTCTCAAGTCTGGGTTAGGTGCCCCTTCCTCCAGCCTGTAAAACCACCTTGAAGGGCACTGTAATTGGCTGACTCCTCTGTCTGTATTCATCCTCTCTTTAGACTACAAAATCTGGACAGGGACTATCCTTTATCTTGTTCACCAGAACAAACTGCTTAGAAGGAATTCAATTTATTTTTAATGAATGAATGAATAATTACTACATCCATAGGGTCGCTGTGAGTCAGAATCGACTCGACTGCAATGGGTAAACAACCAATGCAACCTTTGGACCTGAGTCAAAAGGTGGTTTCTTTAAAGACAAGTAAAACCAATAGAACAATGTGTATCCAGATGTCTATTTAAAATATCTGGGCAAAGTCTTGGTGCTCTTAAAATTTCTACGTGTCCCAAGGGGTAATACTTCCATGAACTTCAACCTTCAGTGAAAACCAGAGGCTATTACTAGTTGGACCTGAGGCCCACTCCTCCCAGCCTATTTTCAGACAATCTAATAAAGTTTTTCACAATTACATTATTTATTTTCTACTAGTTTTCTCTTAGGCATTCGTATCAGAATGGGCAGAATTTAAAAGTAGTCTCCAAGAAAGGCGGGGGAGAAAAAAACCTTTAATAAAAGCAGAGGTCGCAAAATGCTATTTTCCTCCAAGTCCCTCAGAGAGAGGCCTTGGCTCTATCGCTATGTTATATCCCCTCCGAACGGTTGAAACAACGCTGGAGACCCTTCGCGACCCCTGAGAGAAGCGAGTCTGTCATTAACACTGCAACACCAGCAGAAAAGTGCATCCAGCTTCCCCCTGCTCCCAGCCACACTGGGGAGTCTTCTCTCCGAGAGCTTCGAGTGGCGATCGGGATCCCAGTCCACACTGCCGAGGTCTCCCTCAGCCTGCTCCGAGAACAAATCGGGATCCTCCTCACCGCTATCCATACTGGCGAGGCTCTCCCTCGGGAAGCTCTGAGGGGCTGTCAGGACACTCACTCCCGTCCACACTGGCGAGTCCTCCCTCGGGGATATCTGACGGGCTGTCAGGAACTCCACCCCCGACCACACCGGCAAGGCCTCCCTCGAGAAGCTCCGAGTGGCGGTCGGAACCCGAAACCCACCCTCGCGGCCCATCGCAGCCCACCTCACAGGGCAAAAGTTCGGTGCTCGGTTCCTGCCCCCGCGCGATCCTGCAGAACAGGCACTTGAGGTCGTAGTCCTCGAGCTCCAATGACCCTGCGGCGACCTCAGAGGTCTGCGTTGGGGACATCGTTGGTTCTGCAGTCGTCGCTGTCTTACAGTTGGGGTCTGACTCGGTACCGTAGCACCTCTGCTCCTCCGCCATCGCACCGGCTCCCGGCGGCGGCTTCTCTAGGGCAACTAGGCCCAGAGAAGTGTCCGCCTCCCACACCCTCCGTGCTCCAACTCGAGGCGTCGCCCCTCGCCTGGAGCTAGGTGGGCAAGTGGTGGACGCATGCGCTGATCCAGGCTGACGGGAGAGGGAGGGCGACGCGATGTTGGGCCTCTAAGCCAGCAGCCATTAGGGGGCGCGCAAGGGCGCGCAAGGGCGCTGCAGGGAGGAGCCAGCAGCGGTTGTGGGAGTCGTCCCTCCACCCTGCCTCTCCTTGATAGTAACGCTCGACGACTGCCGTGACGCAGAAACGCGCCGCGCGTCTCGATAACGTCACTGGCGTGCAGATTAATCCAACCTGTTGGGTGTTTTGAACTACCTCTTCTTTAAAATATTCCAAAGCCTGTAATATAACCTGCCCCAGTTTATTACACTCTTGTTTTAAAACAGATTTTAAAATTTATTAAAATGAAGAGAATGAACAGAACTTACAGAGCCTTGTTTTCAGTATAGATCATTTTTGGTGCTTTGTGTATGCATTTTCTAACACAATGGTGTTAGGTGCTTAAGCAAAAAGTCCAAAACTCAACATCTTAATCAGCTAGATCAAAATAATGGCCTTTTCTATCTCACATTCCTCTTACACAAGCAAGTGCCGAGTCCTGTAGTTTCTAGTCTGAAATATTCCAGAAATTCACTTGTCAATGCATCATGCCTCACCTAGGCTAGTGCAATAAACTTCTAGTTAGTTTCCCTTCTTCCTGATTCTCCTTTCATACAAAAACCCTTCAGTACTCCCCATGCCCAAAGAAAAAGTAACCATTTCTTAGCTTGGTATTCAAGGTGAAGTCTATGATCTGACCTCAACTTCATTATAAAATGAAAAACGTTATGATACTTAGCATTTGCTGAGCACCTAAAATGTGCCATGTATTTCTCCAATTGTCAAAACAATTAAAGCAAGGTCGGCTTTATAATCCTCATTATAGAAATGAAGAAACAAACTCAGAAAGATTTGCCCAATGCCACACAACTGATTATTGATAGTGCCAGAGTTCAGATAAATGTTTGTCTAACTCCAGAACCCACCAGCCTTTTTAGAACACAGAACTTTTTTAGCACGGATAAATTTCCTGAACTAGCCTATTACAGTAGTTGTATACTTGGTATTTGTTGATTTAGAAAATACGTAATAACAAATCCTATTATGAATTCAGTAATGCTTGTAGATGAAATTATGTTGTATTAATAATCACTTTTATTTCTTCAGGTATTTTTTTGTTAAAATCATGATTTGAAAGAGTCACGATTGTGTTGCATGTAGAATAACACGTCAGGATATCACCTGGTGTGAAAACAAGGATATGGTCGTAAATCACATTACTGTTATCAACAACAAACATTTATTAATAGCCAACTTTGAATGTCATACCATACTTAAAGGAAACCTTCACTTGTCCTTGCTTTCCGCGTTACTTACTGATCCATTTCTCTGCTCCTCTTTGCAACAAAATTCCTCAAAATAGTGTCAATACTCTTCCCAATCCCTCTTCTCCCATTCATTTCTCACACTGCCTCCAATCAGTCTTTTGCTCTCATTAGTCCAACTGCCTTGTCAAGGTCACCAATGACCGTGTTGCCAGATCTGATGGTCACTTCTCAGTCCTCGTCATCCCAGAAACAGTCGATCATTCCCCTCCTTGACAATTCTTTCTTCTCTTGGTTTCCAGGACAGCACACCTTCTTGGTTTTCTTCTTACACAATTGGCGGTTCTTTCTCAGTTTTCTTTGCTGCTTTCTTTTCTTCTTCCAAACCTTTCATCATTGGAGGACTTTGGTCCTGGGTTCTCTTCTCTTTATAGCTACACCCACTCCCGTGGTGATCTCATTCAGTCCATGGCTTTAAACACCATATATATTCTGATGACTCACACATCTAAATGTCTAGTAGAGACCTGTTTCTGAAACTCCAGAATTGAATATACAACTACCTACTCAACCACCCCATGTAAATGCTAACAGATGTCATAAACATGCCTGAAACTGAGCTATTTTGGAGAGAGTTCTTCTTCTGCCCAAAATCGACTACCATCTCAGTTGAGGGAAACTTTATTCCACCAGTTGCTTTGGCCAAAAACATTGAAATCATATTTTATGTTCAATCCATCAGGAAATTCTTCAAAGTATATCCAAAATCTACTATTATCACTGCTATCCCTCTTGGCTGAGCTACAATAATCTCTCATATTAATGCAATAACCTCCCAGCTGGGCTCCCTTCCAATCTTACCGACTAGTCTCAACATAGCAACTAGACTGATCCTTTTAAAATTAAGTCTGATCATGTCACTCCTCTGTTCAACATCCTTCAGTGGTTCCGCATCCCACTGAATAAAAGGTAGTTACCTATAAAGTCTGTAAGTCTCTACATCATATGTCACCTGACCAACTCATTACATTCTGTCACCAGTTGCCACCAATATTTCCATTGATTGCTCCAGTCACACTGGACTCTTTGCTATTACTTGTACCATGTAGGCATGCTCCCACATTCAGGCCTTTGCACTGGCTGTTTCTGCTTGGAATACTCTTTCCGCTGCTAGTCATACAGATTACTCTCTCCTCCAAGTCCTTGCTCAAATGTTTCTTTCTCAGTGGAATCCACTCTGACCACTCTTGCAACCCACCTCCCACTCACCCTCAACACTCCCATCCTCTTTACCATGCTCTATTTTTTTTTCGACTACATGCAGTTTATTTCTTGCTCATATTCATGTTCATTGCATGTTGGCTGTGGATTTTCAGACTTCATCTCATGACCCAGGCTGCGGGAACAGCCTTTGTCTGGGATGTTGCTGGTCTTATGCCAATTAGGATGCAAGTTCTTGATGGGTAGGATATGGCCTTCTTTACCATAACATCCAGTCTAGTATCTGGCACACGTTAGGTGATAGAAGAACAATTGCATGAATTAATGGATGCATGGAATGTACAAATTAGGAAATGAGAGTGAAATCCCTGCGTTCTTAATGGTGCCACTGATGGCATAGCTGCTGGTATTGTTCTTTCAAGCTCAACTTTCCTTTTTGTGGGTTCTCATTTCTCCTCCTAATGCCAAATGAATAATTCTCTTTTTATTTGCTGCTTCATATACCAGCTAAGCAATATAATTTTTTTTAGGCAGAGTTGTTCCGGGAAAGATGTCATGAACCTCAGAGGCTGCCCGTGGATCAGACACACAACTCTATTGACAATCAAATTCTTTCTCAAGAGTATTCCAGAGCATCTTCTCTTAGCAGGAGGCTGCTGGCTGGGGGGTATTCTTAGAAGGGGACAGTGGACCCTTCTAGTACAAAGGATTAGCTCATAAAAGGAGGTGGAACAACTGGGCACCATTTGTGGGGGAGGGATTAGATTTCTTCTTCATATCATGCACCCAGAGACAGATTACCCAATAAACAAGGTAGATACAGGCTTACTTGTCCTTACTTACTAATCTGTAGTGTACAATTTCACCTGTTTTTTTTACCACATGTTTGAGAAACCCACATGAAATTGTGCGCTACAGATTAGTCAGTAAATACAATTAAGCCTGTGCATACCTTGCTTGCTATAAACCTGTGCATACCCTGCTTACCGGTCAATCTGTCCCTGTATGTACCCCCAAATGAAATTAGGTACTTAAATGTTAAAAGTAAAACCAAATAACTATTATAGACATTTTAAATGTAGATGACTATTTACTTTGTCTTGGGGTGGAAAGGAAAGGTTTTTACTAAGTGCCCAAAATGGGATCCATAAAATAAATGACTAATGTAGCATTTCTTTAAGATCTCTATCTATAAATACCATAAGCTAGACTGAAATACAAATGGCAATTTGGGTAAAAATATTTGCCGCATGCATGAGAAACATAGGATTAATAATCCTAATACAGGAAGAATTCTTAAAAAACAATTAGAAAAATTTGAAGATCCCAGTATAAAAATAAGCAGTGAATATAAAAGCAATCTATTAAAAGAGAAAGTACAATCAACAAATACATGAAAAAAATGTTCAGCCTTAATAGAAGTCAAAGACGTCCAAGTTAAAAACAATGAAATAGCTTTTTTCACTATTGAATTGGCAAAGATTCCTTTACAAAAGAGCATTCAGTTTTGTCAGAGTGCAGGGAAAAAAACCACCCTCACTCACAATTGAAATGATGCGCTCTACATTCCAGATGACATAGTGAAATTGTTTCAGGAGTAAGGATGGGAGACCAGCTGTGTGATGACATACAGAGCTTTATGAGGATTAAAGAGTTGGAAATAAGGGGTGACCTGGGACTCTGGGGCTTCCTGTGTAACTGATATGAACAAGAATAAAGAACATAAACAGGAAAGTAAAGCAATCAGAAAAGAACTTCTATAGACTCCCTCTAAAATGTCTACCCATATACTTGGCCCTCCTGTTACCAAAGATAATATTTTGGTAACAATTTCTCTACTTATACATTAGATCCCATTGCCTCCTACCCACTCAAGAACACAGCTCCAGAAATTCGCCTCTTACCTCCTACATCATCAATTTTATTCTCTTTACTGAATCATTACTATTCACCTACAGAAATGCTATAATTTCTCTTACCTTTAAAAAAAAAAGAAAAGTTTCTTTTGAGCCTACTTTCCCCACTAGGACCTGCCCCGTTTATTTGTTGCTCTTTTCAGAAATCTCCTTGAAAGAAATATCCTTATTAGTGCTCTCTAATTTTTCTCCTCTCATTCTCCCCTAAACCCATTTTTCTTTCAAGCTTTCATCTCCACTACGCCATCAAGACCGCTCTTGTCTGGGTGACAACTGACCTCCACAATGCCAAATTCAATGGCCAATAATTAGGTCTTGTTTTATCTGACCTATTACCAACATTTGGTACATTTTATCACTCCCTCCCGCCTTGATGGGCCTTCTTCATTTATCGTGGTGCTCTCTTGATGTTCTTCTCTCCTAAGCTCATTCTCCATTTCCTTTCTATATTCTCTCTAAACTCTCAGTGTTGGAGTGCCCCAGAGCTCAATCCTTGGTCTTCTTCTCTGTCTACATCTACTTCCTTAGTGACCTCAGCCATTCTCATAGCTTTAAATATTATATGCCCCT